AATTGTGTAGTGACCACGAGCATAGTTATTTGCAGCATCTTCTTTACCGGTGATCAGCTGTTCAGGATGGAATAGTTGGCGGTATGTACCAGTTCGTACTTCATCTGTGAGACGAAGAAAATTACTGGTCAATGAAATGAATATATTCTGGAAAGGCAGTTTAGGTAGTTTGTCATTGGTTAGCTAAGAAAAAAAAACATCCTATACAGTACAGTGGAATCTGGTACATTATAAACCATAAACTTGGCATGCAACACTTTAGTCAAACTCTTAAAAATGAGGCGGTGAGGTACTTTTTTTTCCCAGTAAAATATTTTTTACATTTCATCGCTTCATCAACAGAGGGCGCTATGCAATAAGCGCCATTAGTCTAGCATACTGTAAAACATATTTAAATAGCTACATGTCATAGCGAATTTGACTCAATGCATGAATTAACTGAATCTTAATTTAGCTAAAGTGTCAACTATCTCATTGTGAGAATATACTTCATTCTAAATTAGTAATATCTTGAATTAGTAAAATTACAGATTAGTTAAATTAGCTAAAACATGCTAGTTCAATTAAACCATGCAATTCATCCTGTACTTACCAACAACAGTGGGTTCCAAGTCTACAAACACAGCACGTGGTACATGTTTACCCGCACCAGTCTCGCTGAAAAAAGTATTGAAGGAATCATCACCACCTCCAATGGTCTTGTCACTTGGCATCTGACCATCAGGTTGGATACCATGTTCCAGACAGTACAACTCCCAGCATGCATTGCCCATCTGCACACCGGCTTGACCAACATGGACTGAGATACATTCACGCTGAAATTAATCATCGGATACAACTTAATATACTGTTGTGACACGAGTCATCACATTGCAAATATCATTAAAACCACATTTATTATATATGCATTCCCATATCTAACCTGGATGAAACGAGTGGGGGTCCCCCATTTGAAAACTAGGGGGGTGTTGTATACATTCACGCTGAAATAACGTTTTTAGAGAAATTTGGTTAACTTGAGCTCACCAATGTTTCAACAGGGCTGGAAGGATATTTGTACAAACTGTTGTGAGAGGTCCTTTCAATCTCAGCTATTCAGTTAGTATTGGTAGAATAAAAAAATCACAATGGACAGATTTATTGCATCACTTCAGAAAAACTTAATACTAATTTATTTAATTTTAATAGTTCATTTAAATATCAGGGCAACCCCATGCTGTTCTTTTCAAAAGCCAAAAAACTTCTCGTCTTAAATCCAGGATGGGTAATACTGTAAAATGACTAATTTTCACTGGGTTTAAATTTTGCTGATTTACCATTTCAAACATATTCAGTTGGTTTTAAAGTCACAGTTTTATCATTCTATGCTAAATTTTACATATTCACTGGGTTTTAATTTAGCTCATTTTCCAGTCAGTGAAATAAGCAAAATTTAAACCCAGTGAATAATTAACCCCTTTTACAGTATTCAGAGTAGTTTTTGTTAAGTATACTGTAAAACTATTTATTTTTACCAACATTTAATTTCCCTGTTTTGACGTTTGAGTTTATTCACAGTGATTGAATTTCACGAATTTGTCAAGTAAACAATGAGCTTTATTGTTATTTTATATGTTCATGTAGATT